AAATCAATTAATCAAAGAATTATAAGAAGAGACAATGAAAGAATCAAAGAGAAGAAGGAAAGTGTTGAGTCTAAAATTAAGAAAGAACCCAGTTATTTTTTATAAAAGTGTTAGAGATTAAGTTATATATTTTACCAAAAAAATAAAATAAAATCCAATAAGGACCGTCTGGTTCCCGCGGTTCTCATACTAGAACCAAGAACTAGACCGGAATCGGTCGGTTCTTAAAAACTTGTCCCGAAATCAAATTATTTTTTAGAAGATCCGGAACCGAACCGATCGGTTCTAAACGGTTCCGGTCCGATTCCACCGATTCTGAGAAAAAGTGCCCACTCCTAACCTTGGCATTTTGTTGATGTGGTGTGTTCATCCCACTGAAAATTTAGTGTGTTCGAACACCATTGGTATTGGCTTACATCATTCTTTCTTTTCGTTTTGGGTTTGACGTGTAGGCTTCGATAAACAATGCATGTAAGCCAACCGACCTGCTAACCACAATTAACTACTAAAGATGGTGACGGTTGATTAGGTAGTTCAATGTCGACGAGGAAAAATGGTATTTACAGCCATGGAATAAAAAGAAAATTGGTACACGGACAAAAAAGCAAACTCCACTAGGAAAGTGATAGGACAGGTGTAAGTAAAAATGTGAAGTGCGATTAAGATAGATATCAAAATTTAGAGTAGGATAAATAAAAAAAAGCAAGGCGGTGAACAAATTTTGGAGATTGGAATATTACTTATGCCTATTGCCTACCATAAATGTCTATATAAAGTTTAAAATAACGTATATTTGCAAAAGAAAGATCACATCATTATTTCTTGCAGTTTTAGAGTTGTTCCAATTCCAAATGCTCTTAATTTCTTTTCATTAATTGATGATTTGATTTGGCATAGGAGTTTGAATATATCTTCCCAAAATTTCCGCCTATTTTCTCGCCAATGCAGTGTACGAAGTAGTAGTAAGTAGGTTTGATTAGGAATCAAACAAGAAGATTTTCGTAAGTTCTGCAGCATTTAAATCTCTGATTTGGTGGTGGGTGATGATAAATAATGCTCGTACGCTTGTCCTGTGGTGGATTGAAATTAATGCTGGGGTAAGGTAAGGTAAGGGAGTCCAGGATTCAATAATATAAATTTTTGTGAATAGCAAGGGAAGATTGTGTGTGTGTATCCGCAGTCATGGGTTCCTACCAATTGATCAAAGAAAATATAAATCCACATCTGCAAGGAAACAAGTGTATTTTGCGCATTGAGGGTAGGGATGATGTTGAATCCGCTTTATCAGAACTTGATTCGTCTTCTTCTCCTATATTGGGTCGCAATGCCGCCTCTAGATGTATACCATCTGCCTCTGGAACCACTCGCCTTGTCTCCCTCGATATTTTCCGGGGGTTTACAGTCGCGGTAACTTTCCATCTACACACTACTAATTCATCTGCCTGCATCTTCAGATTTCTTTGAGGTCTATTAATTTGTGTGTGTAGGCAGTGTAGGATACTAATTGTAGCATTTAGGGTCAAAGTGCATCAGCCATCTATGTTGCCATTAGAATACTGTAGAGAGAAAGACGAGCCATTTTATGCATAGCGAGAATATTAAAATAAAGGATCATAGCGGGATCTTATATGTTATAGAAGTTATTAACATAAGGAAACTATATAATCAAGTTTCTTGGTAAAGATCATTAATGCATTAGGAAAGAAAAAATTAATAAGTAATAAATGCTGGCTGGTAACTTATTTGCGATCTGAGAGTGTAGGGAAGGATGAATGATGGGAAGTAATGAAGTTATAGATCATGATTTCTTTAGGTGGAAAATTGTATTATCATGTTTTGATCCATTTTGAGTCCTTAGCTTTAGGTCATTAGTTTTTTTGGATTCATTAGTACATCCTTTTGATCTAAGCTGGGTATGCCGGAGTACTTGTAAAAAACGTTTGATATGTACATATTTTATTTACCGACCAAAAAAAAAAAAGAGGAAAAACATGAATGAGATCTATAATCTGTGCATGGAAAGAATAATCTATTTCTTAATTCAAAATATTTACCATATTGTTTCACTTATGATGCAGTTGATGATACTTGTTGATAATGCTGGTGGATTCTTTCCTGCTATCAATCATTCACCGTGGAATGGTTTAACATTGGCAGATTTTGTGATGCCATTTTTTCTCTTTATGGTTGGCATATCTCTTGGACTAGCATACAAGGTACTTGTTTGTTCTTAAGAAAACAGTAAGACTTCCTTTAGATTTTTGCCTTATTACCCCCCTTTACTCTGTAGAAGCAGCTACTGCTGCTTACCTGAGTTTTAGGTAAAACACAGTCTTTTTGCAACATTTTACAGAATTTCTACTGGAATTCATTTGATTACATCATTTATGTTATAGTTTTACCAGCTCCGGAATGCAGCTGGTGTTATATTTGTTTTTTCAGTGATGTCTATAGATGCTCTTAATGTTACTGTGTACCATTCTTTTTCCAGAACTTGACTTGCAGAGGTGCTGCATCGAAAAAAGCAATGTTACGAGCCCTAAAGCTTTTAACCCTGGGTGTTTTTCTCCAAGGTATTTTTCTCCAACTCGTGCATTATGATATTAATCTTTCGAATTGCTATATGATGATGATGACTTGATACAAGAGTTTCTTGGGAAGTAATTTATTTACAAGATTCTTAGTAATATTTATGTCTTTCTTATTTTTTACTTGCGTCTTTACTAGAATTTCTTTAGTGAGCATGTCATCTATCATCTTTTGCACTTCATCTATTCTTTAAAATTTACACCACGTACATTCACTTCTAAAATGTACAGGTGGCTATTTTCATGGAATTAATAACCTAACATATGGTGTGGACATGTATCAAATCAGGTGGATGGGTATATTGCAGGTATGCATCACAAATTATTTTCTCAGTCATCTTCAACGGAACACAATTTATAGTCTATATATAAAAATCGAGTGTGTTTATAAATTTCTTTTAGCTACGTATAGTATGAAAATTCTTTAGTTTATGTAATTTTTTATATTATTCTTTGAAGTGTGTGAATTATGGTTTATTTTTCCTTTTTGATTTTTTTCCTTACAGAGAATCGCAATAGCATATTTTCTTGTAGCGGCATGTGAAATTTGGCTTAGAAACGATGCCAAAGTTAATTCAGAATTATCTTTGCTGAAGAAATATCGAAGGCAGTGGTAAGTTTCCAAAATTCGTGTATTTTGACAGTGTTGAAGATTATTGTATTTGGATGTCTCTTGCAAAGCTGTATCCACGTTGAAAGAATCAAGTGGAATAACTAATGGAGACTGATTTTGCAATTGGATAAACGATTGGCTTCTTCTTAGTGGAATGAATTGCATCTCCAGGGGTGACGCATGTTACTTCATCTTGTGAACTGATGACGATACTTGTAGAAAACCTATGAACTGCGCGTAATCATCTTTTAAGACAAAATTTTATATGCTGCCTTACTGAGTGTGTAAAGAAGTGAAGAAGAAAATAACAACTGCTTTTGAATGTATGCATTGAATTCCCCTTGGAGGGGTTACTTCAACTTTTAGCTTACTGGTTTAGGGTTCAAAAAATATAGCAGCTTAGATAAATCCATCTGAATCAGATTAATCTTTTATATAGGGTCTGCCTTCCTGAGAAATGAAGGCAGACCATTACCTTTTGCATGCTTGGAATGAACTTTATGGCAGTATACATCCTGTTAATTTGATGTATAACTGGGGAAGAAAGGAAAAGAACAAAGGTGACTTGTAAGGAAAAGTTAGAAGTTTGATGAACAAAATTCAGAATCTTTACTTGCTGTGAGATATCTGGAAAATTGATTAGGACTGGGTTCTAAACTTGTGTTGTAATATAGAACTTGACATCTTTTCCCTGCCTATGCTGTGGAAGATTTAAGTTTTCTAATGATGAAATCAAAGGTGATGTAGATGAGCCAATCTACTGGGCTTTTTGTTTAGTCTTCTCAAATCTGCAAGCTTGGGCATATAAGCAGTTAAGAGTTATTGGTATGGGAAGCCCCAAAAAGGCTCTTCTGCAGAATATGCAAATCTGATTCTGCTTGGTGAGATGCACACAACGGATGAAGGAATTTACATATTTTTCTTTGCGATTTATTTTGTGTGGGTTAAAAGTTTAACTCATACTTGTCTAGTAATGACCAAGTTTCGTATTCAGAATCCCTGGTAAATATTTGTTTGAAGGGTATAGATTAGATCGTTATGGCTCAGGAAGTTCTTAAAATTTGAAGGACTTCTTCCGAGCATGACAAGTGACAGCATATAGCAAATTCATATTCTAAAGAATATGTCTAAGCATATAGGTACATTTTAAGTAAAATAGCTGGCTTATAGTTACAATTACGAAGTAGAAATCTCTATTATTGGACAACATTTACTAGAATCAATTTGTATGCCAATTCCTGCATTGGGAGGTTTCATCAGAAGAGGAGTGCTAAGAACCAGAGAAGGACATATCAGATTTCTGCACAGAAATAATCTTACAATAAATGAGTTACTAATAATGCAGTAATGTGAGATTAGATGCCATTTTACCTTGTGCTATGAGTTACAATTGAAGAGACCAAGACCCATGGAGGAATATTTTGTCATAAACAGACACCATACAGAAAATGAATCATTTCAGTCTGTGCTATTCCTTGAAATAAAGTAATTATTTACTTTCTTGAATTCCTACAATTGAATGATTCTACCATACTGCTTCGAGGATTGTTATTATACCTGAGTACAATATAATTTCCACATTCCAAATATCAGATCCAGCAATAACAATCTAAGCCTTATTCCAAATCGCAATTAGAAATATGTCAATGGAAATCTTCAGCTCTCAGAAAGAGTCTCAACACATTTGTTAGGGAGATGTTGGAATCTGGACTGTAAATAAAATGTGTTTTATGTTTGATCCATTCACTTGTCGCCTGTATCTACAAGTCTTATATTTTACTGAAGCTTCCCTTTTCCATATATCCAGGGTTGTGGTGTTGATGCTTACTGCCTTGTATCTTCTGTTGCTATATGGTTTGTATGTTCCTGACTGGGAGTATCAGATTCCAATTGAAGCATCTTCTTCTGCAAAAGTATACTCGGTAGGTTTTCCATTGTAATTTGGTATTTGGCTTAAGAATTGTGGGCGACAACTTATTTCTGAAAATGCTATGGCAAAGTATTTTGACATTATTGGTTCCTGTTGAAGGTGAAATGTGGTGTACATGGAGACACTGGACCAGCATGTAATGCTGTTGGTATGATCGATCGCAAAATTTTGGGTATTCATCACTTATATAGAAGGCCAATCTATGCACGCACAAAAGTATGTTTCTTTTTCTTGGGAGTTTTAATCGATGTTTGTTTCAACATTTATTTTCCATTCCTTTGATTCTGAATGTCATATTTTTCGTTGTAGCAATGTAGTATCAACTCCCCAGATTATGGTCCACTTCCGCCTGATGCTCCTTCATGGTGCCAAGCCCCTTTTGACCCTGAAGGGATTTTAAGGTTTGCACATTTATTTTCCTTTGTAGTTCAACACAATTGATTCT